GTTTCGCGTTTCATGCTTTCGATACGGATTCATCTCGAAACGAAGGCACCGTTTGCAATTTGAACAGTTTCAGCAATTGTGAAAGGATAAACACGAGAGTTTCGAAAGTTTTCAATAAATTTCAAGGGAAAATAATATTTTCTAGATGAAAAAAAATGTTGAACAATTGTAAAACAATATATTCGCATTGATGAGAATAAGAAAAACGAGATTTTAGAAAATTTCGAGTAAATGAACGATAAAGTTTGAAGTGAAAATAATATTCTCCAAATAAAAAAATTAAAATATTAAGAATATAATAACATAATATTCTCCAATGAAAAAAATTAAAATATTACAAAGACAATAAAATAATATTCACCAATGAAAAAATTAAAATATTTGTTTTGAGTAAATGAACGATAAAATTTGAGGCGAAAATAATATTCTCCAGTTTAAAAAATGCAGAAATAAATGCACACTTGCAGACAAATAATTTTTTGACATATTGACATTTTTGAAATTTATCAAAAATTTATCATTTATTCCAACGAGTACGAAAACCTCAATGTTTGTCACGAACATTTCTGACACTCGTATACAGAATTATAAAATGGAAAACCAGTGTAAAATAACGGTAAATAAGAATGCGGGAAATGTGGCGAAGATAACTATGAATTAAGTATGAAATAGTTATCGTTATGCATGTAACATCACGTGTGGTAACCAACTATCTTATTTGCGTTTCTTCCTATGCAAAGATGAGATCGATGAACAACACGAAGGAAAACTGAATGACACATGAGTCGAGCTACACAAATTTACATGCTGTTACTGAATATATGTATATATCTTATGTCGTTACATAAGTAGCCGGTCACGAATTGTAATTATCAGCCGGCTTACGCGGACTTTCTCTGTACAGTTTTTATCAGAATGAACACGGCTTTAGTCTCATTCTCAGCTAATAAATTTGAGACGCATTATGTATTTTGTTTCCAAACGTGGAACACGATTCCCGATCCGGCTTACGTAATTATTCAAAAGAAATTTAATTCTTACGTAAAAATGTTTAAACGAAACGCTATACGGCTAGGAATTTTACAGAACTGATCAATATTTCGAGATTACAAAATTATACGGTTTGAAACTTTTTCAATTAAAAATTTGATTCTAAACATTCAACGATGTATGATCTATGTTGTAGTAAATATCTAAGTTGTACTTCGAACAATTTCATAAATTGCAAATGTTTCAAATATTATTCGGATAATTAGATTATTTTTATTTAAACAATTCTATATAAATCAGGTGTTATGTATGAATTAGATTAACTTTCTATAAAAGGTTAATTTTCTATTAATTATTACACTTCATACTTTTTCATGTACTCAATTGTCAGTATTGTACATTTTGGTTTCATATTAATAGTAACAGGTTCAACTCTTTAATAAAACAACTCACCTTAATGTTTCCTACATTCTATAATCCAAGAAAAATTTAAACACCTATAAATGCAAATTACTGAGAACCCTCGTTTAATTACCTTATTTTTGAAAAAACTTTAAATACTTGCTAAAAATGTAAACGTTCTAAACCTGAATAGCTATTAACAATTATACTACATATCTATAACCCCTTCCAACTGAATAAAACTATTATTATTATAGCTTCCATAAAACTGTGCAACGTTTGTAAACGAAAAAAAGGAATAAAGCAGAAATATTACAATTAATGTTTCAATCAAATTGAAAATTAGGTGAAACACCTTATAGAGCCTATTACGATGCACTTATTGATATAGTGTTATGAACGGATGTGTTACTCGCGGTATTCAGGTTAATTATAGCTTCCAATAAAGGAACGCAGTTAAATAATATTACGACTTACTTTTCCGGGAGTAGGTGAGGCCGATGTTGAATTTAACCCCTGCTGTAAGTGATACATCTTCGGGGTAAGCGCAGATGGAGGTGCACCGAGGCTACCCGGGGCGACAGCCACGCTCGTCATGGTCATTTCCTACGACGGATGCAGTCCTCGGCTTCTTCGAAGCACCTGTCTGCGGCCTTCTGCGATCTTCGTAATTGTTCATTCTCGTACCGTGACCGCTGGAACATAAATACGCGCAATTTAAATAAACTTCGCTTTATTCTGCGGGAGCGACGCGGACGAAAATGACGAAAGAAGAAATTGGGAAATGTAAGAATCGTAAAGAAGAAATCGGGAAATGTGAAAATTACAAAAGAAGAAATCGAGAAATATAAAAAATCGTAAAGAAGAAATCGGAGATTACGAAAATCATGAGAGAAGAAATCGAGAAATATAAAAATGATAAAAGAAGAAATCGGAGATTACGAAAATCATGAGAGAAGAAATCGGGAAATGTAAAAATCATGAGAGAAGAAATCGGGAAATGTAAAAATCATGAGAGAAGAAATCGGGAAATATAAAAATCGTAAAGAAGAAATTGAGAAATATAAAAATTACGAAAGAAGAAATCGAGAAATACAAAAATCATAAAAGAAGAAATTTGGAAGTGTAGATTTAAGGAAGGAGGGCTTCAAATATATCGTTCTTTTGTATAAGTATTCATGTTTCAGAAACATGTGATTTCTGAAATTATGCAATTACGTAAATTGATCCTCTCTAGAAATGCGAACGAGACAATAATCAAGTCAAAGATGCCTTAGTACTTTGCATGACAAAATGAATCCTTCTCACAAACTAATACTACAAACCATAAACTCTGGTATTAAATGAAAAATTAATACAAACATTTATATCTTCTTTCGCCAAAAACCCTGTACACCGTCCAAAGTTCAAGTTTAAACTAAAAATTCCAAAGTTCCACTCGTCAAACAGCTACAGGTTGAAATTCCAATTTAAGGTGTTGTACAAACTCGAGTATATTTCTTTTTTACGCAGATTTCTCCAAGAGAATCGACAGAAATGATAGACAACAACGCCGCGCCGGGGAATGAACCGCGAAGCTGAAAAGACATCTCTTTTTGCGCGCGTTACCACGGATATAAAGTCACACCGAAATGGCGATTTGTTGAGTAATCATTTCGATCGCATTACGACATTCCACAATGGTACCGTGTAATTTCACTCTCGCCAGGAGATCGCAATTGCACAATTTTCGTCGCGCCAGACGAGACATTCGGGCGGACCTAGAAAGCGTCTAGGAAATGCTAATTTACAGGAGTTTCTGGTCTTGCTGTTACGTGCACGAGGCCTCAATAAATATATTTGCCGATGCGATGATCGCGTACAACGATCGCTGACTTGTTTCGCCGCCGTGCTTTATACAGTGTATATACACCAACGTTCGCCGAGCACTAGAATGAGTTTCCAACACGTTTCATTCGTGCTGATTAAAACGCGTGAATAAGCTAAATCTCGTGGCACGGAATTGACGGGAAATTGAATTAAATAATTTATTCCGCGAATGTGTGGACCAAACGGGACGAATAGATTGAGCTGTCGAGAATTTATAACGAAATTGAATTAAATAATTGTGTTATCTGGTAAATAAGTTAATCTTTATGGATTGAATCATCGTGTTCCAGATTGATAGAGAAATCAATGAAGAAATTGTAATTATGTAGCTATGTGATCGAGTAATTTTATTTCTTCGGTGATACTTTTGCACCGTCAATTTTTTATTACGGTTCATTGCGTAAAACAATTAACAGATTGAAGGTTTAACATTTTGGATACTATGCTGATCATTTTTAAAACTTTTTCCATCGATTAGATTTCTTAAATCTTGAACTTAAAGCTAAAAATGAGGTAATAGAAAATTTATAAAATTCCACAATTTATTTCATTTCTTTAACGCTTCAGTTTGCTTAATTTAATATTCGTAATTGCAAATTAACAATAACATGGAGATTGAAGGTGCTCAATTTTACTCTAACACTTCAAAACTTGAAAAAATTTTAAATTCGATAAAAATATTATTCTATTAATTTATTTAAAATTGTTTTCATTCCGTATACATAATATATTTAAGCAAACTTTGAAAGTATTTCATTGTTTTATATATTACGCACAAGTAAGATAAATTATAAATTTTTCAAGACTAAAGATCAGAAATTCTCGTTCGGTCAGAATTATGAACGTTTTAAAACTACATTTCGAATTCCTAGCACAATAGATCCGGAAGGGAGGAAAAGAATTTGAATTGTGAAGAATATGGGTTGACACACCTCTCGTAAAGTCAACGGTGTAACTATACTCTCAATACTGTTAACTCGTACTGGTGAGATTCATTACGATGCACCAGCATGCCGCTGACTGATTTTTATTTAAGAATCATCGTGACACGCGTTCCAATCTGTTGATCTCATTGCTGATCGCTATTCGCATGAATTTACCATACTGACCCCCATATCACATGCGGAATTTGCATTTTTTAAAACACGAATATGTTATTTTAAGAATTGTGCTTCACCTTGGAAAATAACGACCGCGATATACATACGAGGTTAACATTTTTCAAAATATTTTCTCTCTTACTTTTCATTATGTTTATCTTTCGAAAATTATCGTCACGGATGAAAAGTTAACGTTCGATTATCCTCGGTAAAATGTTCAATCTTGATAAATTAAACTAAAAGTAGCGTTTATTAATTCATACTTTAATTCAGTGCTAAATTAATTTTAATTATTAAGACGTGCAATACGTGTCAAATTTTTCAGAAAAAGATGAAGATTGTTTTTTAAATTGAAACATTTTATTCTTTAAAATAGGCACAACCCAAAATGTTCCTCTCTCGAAGAAGAATTTTTCAGCATTCGATTAATCACTTGAACGATCAATTTGCGAATGACTGGAAATCCATTTCACGTTACACGAGCTAATATCAAGTTATATCATACCTTCAACTTAATGTGTTAAAAATTCTTTACTTTATTACAGATTGCAAGTGAAAAATCGTATTTTCTGCAAATAAATTCACCGAGAAAAAAAAAAGGATCTGTTGCATGCAAAAATTCTCTATTTACGACGGAGTCTTGCGTCTTCCAAGTATGATTTATAGGTAGAAGTGAAACGCAACAAGACAGAATTATTTTCTGCGCAAGCCGGTATACGCAGCGAAAACAAAAGACAGAAATCTCGGCGAGGTTTTATTTTCGCGGGTATCCATTAAACCAAAGAGAACATGATCTCGTTGGGTGGTTAAATGACCCGATAACGGTTTTCTAGAGAAACGGTTATCGACATGCAGAGACGGAGAAAACGGGAAGATAGATGTAAAAAGATGGTACGAGTGTGCAGCGAAAAAGTGAAAAGGACGCGGATGGAAGAACACGAAATCAAGACAAACGTATTTTGTCTAATTTTTCCAATTCTGTTCCGTAGTACAGTTATAACGTCATGAAGTCTCGATTAAAAAAAAAGAAGCAAAGATTGGTAAAATTTCATTTCTCAAAAAAATCAACTTGCGAGCCTCCTTCTTTCACTCTCAGGTTATCCGGTCGTAATGGATAATTTGAAAGTCAAAGTAAAAATACTAGAAACGTCGAATTAGAATAAAATGTGGAAATTACAATTATCTATGCAAATGAGCGTTTAATTGTATAACAAGTGTATACAACTTTTCGTGAATATCAAATTAATTTCATAGCTAACTTTCGTTTCCGGATACAGTATAACGAGAAAATAATACAAATTAGAAAAATATAAATTAACTCCTTCTTTCATACTGTAGCTAAAAAGTAGATAAAAGTATACACGTTTAACATTGTGTTTGTGAATGTTTTTCTAAGTTAATTCTCTACCTTAAGAAGAGAAATTTTTACCCGTTAAAGGGTTTACTTTTCTTCGTTCCTATTTATGATACAACTTTCACTATTGGTGAAAATACTTTCGGTATCGGTATCAGTGTCTTATTAGCACTCTCGATGAATTTAAACGTCATTTTCTGTCATAATTTGGTTAAACTAGTTTCCTGAATTTCATGTGTTTCGCGTTGGTTAGTCGTTTTTAACGAGACATTTCCAAGAATTTCCCACAAAAATACCATCTTCCACGATAGAAACGGTGCAAACCGCAATTGGCGAAAAATAATCTCAGTCTTAATGGCTAATTTTACCGCATTTGCATGCCAGAAAAAGCCTGCGGGGGAAGCTTAGCTGCACACACGTATCGATTTCGCAAGAACCGGAGAAATCGGCGCCTGTTTTACGGCTCACCTAGCCGAAACAGTTGAAGATGTTAAAACAATCAACGAAGATAACCGTCGTGATTCAGAAACTATGCGATTCTCTCTTTTTCCGTCGAAAGAGAGAAAAAAAAAAAAACGAAACCAGAGGAGAAAGAGAAGGAAAAAGTATGAAAAGAAGCGTGAAGAGAGCAGAGCGTAAACGTCGATATTTATCTCCGTTTTTTCCACGCATCCTCTTAATCGTATTTTTATCGCTCTCATTCATTCTAATGGCAGCGTGAAAAATATGTATGCCTAACGAGTTCTTTTGTTAACTTCTCTATCGAAGTCGATGAATCTGTCTGGGAAAACAGTTGTTAATCGTACAAGCGTATCCTCCGGAGAATTTTCCCCCGATGATCACATTATCCTCGGCTTCCTACAACCCCCATTGAACACTGAGAATTACGAGTACTCTCGTTCCTCTGAACGAGAGTTGCTAATTATTTTAAACGAGCTGTTACTTGCTCTGTTAATTGTTTTCCACTTTTATAGCGTTACATTAAATTACAGTCGAATGCTAATTTTCTTTCGTTAACGATGAGTCGGTTTTTCTTTCAATTTATACTATACCTAAATATAAATAAAAGAAACAGACGAGAATTTTCTTCAGTAAAAAAGATTAGATATTTTTATTTTTATGTATTATAGAACCCTTCTTCAAAATTTGTTGATTGAAATAGATTCATCAATTTTAATGATTTAATTAATAATAGTGTTATTGATTATAAAAAATTGTCTAATTTAAGATGTAAAGTTTTCACAATTAACAAATCTTCAAAAGTATAAGATTGAAAAAATTTTTCATATTTATCAAAGCTTTATATATATTCACAGTGGATTTGAAAAAGAAAAGTTTCCCTCTTCGCATGCCTCTCTCAAATAAAACATGT